CTGGCCACCTCCCCTGCCGGCTCACTTTATGGCACACTGGGACAGCTGCTTCTGTTTATTCAATACTTCCTTCTTGAAGTATGGCCATCCATCCTGGACCCCTTTGTTTCCAAGGGCTGTTTCCCAGGGTACACTTTGAAACAAACTTTTGAGCAGGCCGAAGTCTGCTCTTAGGAAGTCCAGGGTAGAAGCTTTTTTCATGGCCCTTCTTGCATCCCTGAGTATTGAAAACTCAATAATTTCATGGTCACTGTGCCCCAAACAACCTCCAACCACCACATCTCCCACCAGCCCTTCTCTGTTTGTGAACAGTAGGTCTAGCAGGGCCCCACCCCTGGTAGGCTCAGCTACCAGCTGAAGTAGAAAATTATCCTTTATGCACTCGAGGAACCTCTTAGACTGCTTTTTTTCTGCTGTATTAAATTTCCAGTAGACATGCGGCAGATTAAAGTCATCCACAAGAACAAGGGCTGGTGATCTTGAGACCTCTACCAGCTGCCTGTAGAGTAAATAGACCAGAGACCCCTCTTTCTGTGACATAATGTTCTTTTAATGTTGTAATGAATGTGCAGATCCCTTTTATTCTGGAAAAGAAGCCTATGCAATGTATAAAATGTGTGCAAGTGTAATAGTATGTTGGGTTTTCTCCCTTCTAGATGATGACAATTCAGAAGAAGGCCTTCACACCATCCATTCAGGAAGGCATGAATATGCATTCAGCTTTGAGCTTCCACAGACGTAAGTACCTGCACACAGTCTTTGGGCCCTGATGCCCACCTGTCTAACCAAAACTCTGGCTGTGGGTGGAGGGGAAACCTTTTCAATGGTAGTAGGAATTGTGCTGCAACATGGAGTGTAGAACATAATCCCATTGATCTGAAGAGGTTGCTTTTACCCTGATATACATGTGGGGGTTTTTTGTTGTTATTTTTGTTGAATTTCTTGTTTTGGGGGTTTTGAGGGGGTTTTTTTTAGCTTCCACAAAATGGGAGCTCATTGCTGCCCCATTGGTTGCTTTCCTTTGACCAAGTCGTAGTGACTTGGTAGGTGTCACAGTCTTTTACCCCTTCCCCACAGGAGGGAAAGGAGTTTGAATGGTCACTGGAGTCCCTCAAAATGGCTGAGATAGCTTCTAACCTAACCAACAATTTACTGGAGCCATGCAGACGAGCAGAAGAAGAGATTAAATCACAGTGGAATAGTTTGGTCTCAGTCTGGAACGAATGCAGCAAGTTTAACTAGATTTGAATGAAAGAGGATATGATTCTCATTCAAATAGGATGTATGTACACAGGCTGGCCTTTAAGCAGAAAGCCTGTATAGAAATAAACATAAGGGTGGGTGGATAAAGCAAGAAAAATTCTCATACCTAATCCCTTTTGTCTTAGAAAACAAAGGTGGAGCAAGCATAAGAGAAGTATTAAGATAAAGATTGTTCCCTCACCCCTCTCTGAAATGTGTAACATAGATATTATGAATATAAGATTTATACGTAGAAGAATTACCAGTATGGAAATGATGTAAAAATAGAAGTGGCAATAAAGTTAAATACAGGGGAAAAAGAGGGAATCTGAATATGGATGGAAGAAGGAGCCTTTTGCTGTTAAAAGCAAGCAATGAAGCCATTAAGGCTGAAAATTTTCCAGTGTGATACATGAAATAGTTCAGTACTTAATCGTAGAATTTTAGGGGTTGGAATGGACCTTACAGATAATCTAGTCCCAGCCCCTCTGCCATGGGCAGGGACACCTCCCCACTAGACCAGGATGCTCAAGGCCTCATCCAGCCTGGCTTTGAGCACTGCCAGGGCTGGGGCATCCACTGCTTCTCAGGGCAACCTGTTCCAGTGTCTCACCTAATATTAAAGGTAATGAATCATCTGTTAATTAGAGCTGTTGACTTTAGCAGAGCATGAAGGTCATAAACATGTTTACAGGTCAGTTTCAAAGACTTCTACACTGTTTCAGTAAGGTCTACTGTGAAGACCTATGAACATGAAGATTTTGAAGGCAATTTAGCATTCTGTGGAAATCTCAGCTGCAAAAAGTAAAGCTAATAATGATTTTTTCCCTTCAGTTGGAAGTGGTATTTAAATTTTTTAATTCAAAAACCGACAACCAAACAAACCCAAAGCATTATGCATGAATGTGAAATGCTTAGCTTTGAATGAAACAGTCAACAAATTATGACAAGCATTGGTCAAAGCACAGGTCCTTTTTAAGTGACTCAAGGGAGTAACTTACGTCAATTGTTGATAATACCAAAAAAACAAAGGCTGATATTAAAAGCCTGAACTTTGACACTGCCTACTTATGTGTTATTTTGTGTCCATAGAATACATCTAAAACTGCCTTAAACTACAGGGCAGTGGTGGAAAGTTGATGTGCACAGTTTTTACTGATTTTTTGCCCTACAGAATATGGGGCAGAATGAAACATTGAATATGGATTAGAAAATCATTTAATCTGGATTATTAGGGGGGGAAAAAGTACATCTTAGATGTGGAAATAGAGAAATGAGACCTGTAACTGAAAAAGTAATTTTAGTCAAGCACTGTCATGGCTAGTACTGCTCCCTGTGGAAGATAGAGAAACTTTGCAAATAATTTATATGTTTTTAATGCGTATATATAGCAGTGTATTCAAAACATAGTGAAATAGAAAGAAATCTACTTGCATAAAAATGAGAAACTATCTTACAGAAACTGCTATTAATTGGAAATAATTAGAGTATAAAGATACTTTGTCTTTCGTTTTATGATGTTTCAGTAAAACAGGCAATGCTCAAAGGTCTGGAGATCCTTTCCACATAATTTTTCATTTAACTCCTAGAAGGGACTTAGTTCATGTGTCAAAGTTCAGACTAGAGTAGTCTTGATGATTTCATGTGTGTATATATAAATGTGCATACTTATGTACTATAAATGTTTTAAGCTGGTCTTATCAGGGTAGAGGAAAATTAGAAAGTACTCAAAGTAGCCTCTCTCTTCAGAACTCCAAATTGGAACATTTACTCTGCTTAAGGTAAAATAAACTGCAAAAGTGCTGAATTACAGCTAAAATTAACCTGAGGCTTAGCTACGGGCCAAGTAAATAATAGACAATGATTGGCAAAATGCCATATCCAAAACTATAATTGTTTGATACTAATGCTAATTTTAAGTTGGTAGTCAAAATTTGGCTTTGAAAGGGCATTCTTTACTCTGGATGTATAAGTGGCCTCTTAAGTTTAAAGGAAATGTGTACTGTCCTGTATTTTCTAGTACAATTCTTTAATTGATTCTTAAAATCTGTGCAAAACTATAGTAGGATGAATTGGAGATGATTTTTTCTCCCATCTTCAATCTTGATTTTTCTGAGATTTTGAAACTTTGCAAATAAGTTATGCTGCATCAATTACTAAAATGCATTAAAAATGCAATTCTATATACTAATCCTTGACCTGATCAATTGTATCATTATTAGTCAGAAAGACTTTACTCAATTTTGACCTTTGTGTCCTGCACAGACCACTTGCTACCTCATTCGAAGGCAGACATGGCAGTGTGCGCTATTGGGTGAAAGCCGAATTGCATAGGCCTTGGTTTCTACCAGTAAAATTAAAGAAGGAATTTACAGTCTTTGAACATATAGATATCAACACTCCTTCATTACTGGTAAGAATTGACAAAATTATTCATTCTTTGTTTCTGGCATAAAAAATAATGAAGTATAATAACTGAAACAATAACCACATTTAATTTTACCTAATACTTATTTGCTACTTTAGTTACCACCAATTTTCTAATTATTACATTAGTTCAGCAACTCTGTAACTACTGGTATTTTGAAAGCTGCCTTTTCCTGTACTTGTAGTTGCTTCACTTTTAAGATACATAGAATGGCTTTTGTCAGTTTAAATTGTTAATATGAAATTATTAAATGTTAGTAAGACAGAAAATTTTGAGAACTGTTCCTCTTTGATTTGGAATAATGAAGGAACAGTGAAATTTACAAAGAATTATGTGACAGGCTGCTAACTTAAAAATGCAAAGTTTAAAACTGTACTGGTGTGCATAATTGATAATTTCCATATGGATAGTTTTTCTACCAACAGAGAGAAATTACCACAATTCTGTGTGATTATTTCTGAAATGCCGTTTCATTAAAATAATGCCAGTATCACAACTGTTTTCAATAAGGATTTGATTTCAATGTGGCCTAAAATTCCATTCCCCCCCACCAAATTCCCCCCTCTGGAGAGGTTAAATAAAAACCCTCAAGAGTCCATTGAAATAGATTTCTTGTGTATGTGGGTGAAAAATCAAACTTGTAAAGGGACATCGCGCTTGCATGAATTCCATTAAAATCAAAAGACTCATTTGACTTTAATGGGCTTTGGATCAAGTCCTAAACCCTGGTACCATGTAAAATAACAAAGTCTGGTTAATCTAAATGGAATGGAGATCTTTCTGAAATGGGAAATAGCAGGAGTCAAGGTTACAGTACTTTAGCTTAATTACTGTTTTGGAAATACTGTCCTGGAAATACACTCTAGTTTACTAGATAAATTAACAGCTCTTCCAGCAATATGTTGGAATACGTAGGCTATAAAGCCTTTTCGTAAGCTATGCTGTATTCATTAATGTATTAAAAACCTGCTTCCAGTGAGGCCATAGTATGAAGTACAAAAAAAAAAGCAGTGTTAATAAGCGTGGAGTTAGAATAAACCTTATAGTTTGCATACTGCAATTTGCTTGAAGTTTCATCCTTTAGAATTAGCTATGCTTATCAAAATGTGTAACAAGTATGCCACTAAAATAATTTCTTCGTGTTGAACAGAGGTTGTAGAATTAGATGAAGAGGTTCATGGAGCTCTCAATTAAGTGGACAATGTTGTTCTTTATTGCAGTCACCCCAAGCAGGCACAAAAGAAAAAACTCTCTGTTGTTGGTTTTGTACCTCAGGCCCAATATCCTTAAGTGCCAAAATTGAAAGGAAGGGCTACACCCCAGGTACGTAACAGAAGTAATTACAGGAAATGTTTTTCCTTTCATTTTTCAATGACAGTTTGTATTTAACTGCTGTTACATAAGCAAAATACTTAAACTATTTTTACCACCTCAGTCTGCATTCATCAGTCTTGCCATTTCTTAACTACAACTAATTTCACTAGCTAGATGTGTCCCCAGATTGTCAAAGAGCATCTGCTTCTATTAGACCTGTGCATTTTTCTGTTACAATTCTTATGGTGACCTTATTCCTATTAGAATCAATGGATGTTTCAAAGTAGAGCATTGCTAGCAGCATCCAGTACTTTACAACAATGCACTGTACATGGCAGTTTGCTTCAGCTGCCTTGCAAACACAAAGAACATGAAATTGTTTCATTTCAGGTGAATCAATTCAGATCTTTGCTGAAATTGAGAACTGCTCTTCCCGTGTGGTGGTGCCAAAGGCAGCCATTTACCAAACACAGGCGTTTTATGCTAAAGGAAAAATGAAGGAAGTCAAACAACTCATTGCCAACCTGCGTGGGGAATCCTTGTCATCTGGCAAAACAGAAACCTGGAATGGCAAACAGTTGAAAATTCCACCGGTTTCCCCTTCAATCCTTGACTGTAGTATAATTCGTGTGGAGTATTCACTGATGGTATGTTGGGCGATTTCACTTGAGCTTGAGTAGTTTCCATCATTTCTTGAAATTGTTAACAAAGCACTGTGTGCTAACTAGTTACAAAAGAAATACATAGCCTGGTATTAGTGTCCAGGAATTCTGTAAATACATTCAGTTTAAACCTTGCATGTTCCATAAAACAATTGTGCTGTGCCAACTAAGTAAACGTGTTATGAGTAGATGATATTTCCATGAGAGGGCTCATGTTAACAATCTTCAGCTGCTTTTGAGTTGGGAAGCTTTTTTTCTCCATGGGACTTTGGCTCTAAAACAAATAAAGGAAACAAGTAGGCCAAGTTCCTTGTGGAAAAATTACATGGACAGAGATTCTAGTCTAATAATTACGAAGCACTTACACAAACCTGCTTTTCATTGTACACTTCTTTGTTGTTCTTCAGGTATATGTTGATATTCCTGGCGCTATGGATTTATTCCTTAACTTACCATTGGTCATTGGCACCATTCCTCTACACCCATTTGGCAGCAGAACATCAAGTGTGAGCAGCCAGTGTAGCATGAACGTGAATTGGCTTGGTCTGACACTGCCTGAAAGACCAGAAGGTAACACACAATGAGTCTGTTTTGACTTTTGTCTGCTTTATTCATTGATGGCATGCAAACAGACCCAAATTACGTCCTTCATAATAAAGCCCACAGGAAATCCCTTGTGGATATTTCCTTGCCACCTGCTTGTCTTCTGTATATAGAAGAACAGAGTTGCCTCTCTGCCTTCGTCTCTCAGGGATGGGCAGGGGAATCCAGCTGCTTGGAAGCTGGCACAAGCAAAAGCACAGAATGCCATTGTATGTCAGCAGAATTCTGTCTCCCGTATCCCAATTGCATACTTGATTATAAGTCATTGTAACCCATCAAAATAGCAGTTCATGGTTATTTTTACCATCTTTAGTAGCCAAGGCTTTTTGAAAAGACAGTGTAGTTCATTTCAATGGGAATTTGATTTGTCAGGTTCTCTGTATCTCCCTTCCCTCTTTTTGCTTATATTAAATCAGTATATGGGGTTTTTATGTACAAATCTCAGACTCTGATTTGTGGAGTCCAGAGGTATATAATGTTCTACCATTCCTACCTGTACAGAAATTCAGTATCGAGAGTATGTGATACATTTTAAATATAGTATTAAGTCACGATAAAAAAGTCAGTCTGTTGTTGAATTTGAGCATAGTCTTAAAATAAATCATAACAGCCAACCATCCCTTTCATCTTCAACAGCTGGAAAAATGACTGAAGTAATTTGTCTACCTGCTGGGGCATTTTACATTGATAAGAGTTTAATATCTATCATGTTAAAAGTTTTGACAGTGTCATGTGAAACAGGGTGATACACTCAGTATTTGATTAGTCTGTCAGCACCCTTAAGTGGCTTACTTTAACAGCTTACAGAATACTACTCTTATTAATATAATTGTGACAGTTTTCAGGTTAAAATTGGCAGCAATATTACCTGACTGCAGAAATACATTCAAAGCAATATACTAACATGCCCTAATCCCCAAGAAAAGTTTCTCAAGAAAATTATTCAGCATAGAGTACTGTTCTTACCCAATAAATACACCTGTTGGGGGGAGAAGAGAGATTCAGCCTGTCATCTGATCCCAGAAGTTATGATGGACTTTTCACCCCTTGTTGGTCTTGTCGTCTACCCTGTCTCTGTCCCC